AAGTAAAATTCTTTTTTGGCTCATTATAAGAAATAATGGATTAATATCTAAAGAAATTTCTATGAGTCCATCTTTGAAAAGCTTTTGACAAGCGAAGGCGTAAGTTGTATGTTGTTTGTGATTTGTTTGTGTTGATTATTAATAAATATTAATAAATACTGATTGATATTGGAACATGCAATAATAGATATCTTATACTCACCAAAGCCTTGCGCGCGAGCTCTTCTCGCTTCCTCTGTTTGATCATACTCAACTTGTTCTTTTACACCATGAATACAAATTTGAAATGATATTCGTAAGCAGTCGCAAAGACAACATCCAGTGTCCTCTTCTCGTTCCCGCGCCGCATCCACCTCCGGATTTCCCCAAACAACATATCCCAGTCCTCTCTTAATTAACATTAATAGTAAGGCATACAAAATTAATTTTTTGATTCTCATAAAACATAAAATTTTAAAAGTGACTCTGCCCTGCTTTAAATTTTATTTTCTACAAATCTTATATGATTTTTATCTCAAAAAGGACATATATATAAAAAATCATAAAATTTTTTCCAGCATCTTGAAAAAATTTTCACCCGGAAGTTCTTGTAATAAATAACAAAAATTTTTTATACTCACTTTAGTTCCACAACAAAAATGAGCCCAAAAAGATCCGCTCGTTCCCCTACATCTATTCACAGTGTCGTCGCTTTTAGTTTAAAATATAAGAGATTGATTAGGAAATATTTGATGATAGATTATTACTGAACTTTATACTAACTCGTCGCTCTTGGTCTGTTCTTTACTTTGGTTGGTAAGTTGTTGTGGTTGATTTTGCTGGCCATATTGCATCTGAGAAATTTCAAGCGGTTGGTGTTGTATGGATTGTTGCGGAAGGGATTGTTTTGAAGCCATTATACTTTGGTTGTCAAGTTGTTGTGGTTGATTTTGCTGGCCATATTGCATCTGAGAAATATAAAACGGTTGGTGTTGTATGGATTGTTGCGGAAGGGATTGTTATGAAGCCGTTATACTTTGGTTGTTAAATTGTTGTGGTTGATTTTGCTGGCCATATTGCATCTGAGAAATATAAAACGGTTGGTGTTGTATGGATTGTTGCGGAAGGGATTGTTCTGAAGCCATTATACTTTGGTTGTTAAATTGTTGTG